ACCACTTCTCCTAAGAGATTACACAAAGCACCTATGGTGAACATTATCATGGAAGAACATTATTATTGGAGATCACTATTACTGGAAATCGCTACTAAAGGAGAACACTATTATTGGAGAAAACACCATCACTGGAGTACACTGTCACGGTGCATGATCAAAAACAGTAGAGCATTAATAATTGTTGTTACTAATTATTGAAGTTATTGCAATAAAATATTTAATGGTTTGGGGTTGAAGTGCTCCCAAAGGTCACCTTCATGCCCATAGACTCATTCAATGTAAATATAATCGGCCGAGTTATAGGAACTGTCCAAGGGACCCTTACCCCTTGGTTCAGGTTAATAAGGTCAGAGGGGGTCGCTACCCTTCTGGCATGTGCTCTGGGGACCCTTACTCCCAGGGAAGCCCTAGGGACCATTACCCCTAGGGTTATCACAGCGGGCCTTATATATACCCCGCAGGACGAAATACAAGGCCATAAAGAGTCTATTGGGTTAAATATACATATAATGTGACACTTATTGTAACAGGAGTACTTCACCCCCATAACACTTTCTCCCACACAAAAGCTGTATGTGTCTACTCTTAATTCTTAGCTCAGTTAGCTGGCTGGAGAGCAATTGTTCCATTAAGCTAATTCTATACAGTACGCATCACTGGAGGCTTATGCACTGATCTACAGGTAATTCAAATTCTTGCTTTTCGTGCACAGCTCGAAGTAAATGCTTCAATCACAGTGTCATAGTTGATCTTTCCGGCTATATCACGCTCTGAAGAAAGCGTAATAGGCAATTCCAGCTTTTAGTTTATGCGTGCGGGGGACGATGGGAAGTAAGGTATCACATTGCTCATTATGCTGAAAAAATAGATATGGTAGCCGTGTAAACACTGAGTGATAACTTATACTTTTAATATTGAAATATTTCGGTTGTTTCGGTAGTTTTTTTTTAAATTTTTCAGCATAATCCGCACTATGATACCTTACTTCCTATCATCCCCTGCAGGAATAAACTAAAGGTTGGAATTGCCTATTAGTCCAGCAGGACGCTCTTGCCCCCATTGTAGAACGACGGCAATTCTTTACGAATGCTAGTTTACTAAAAGACCGTTCTCCAGAAGCGGCTGACACTGGGATCAGTGGTATGTTTACAAAGATCCTTAGGGCAACATAGCCTCCTCAGCAGGCATCGCCTTTCGATTAACGGGCAAAATTTCTTCCAGGCAAAACTGCGGAGGAGGCTAAGGGCAACACAAATCTGTGGAAATATGTTTTAAAGTCCTTTCTCCTAAATCTTGTTAAGCAACTGAAAGCACGACAATTTACCAAACAAAATGTCATTTTATATTTAATTTTGTTTCTGGAAACACCACGTAAATTTATAAATAAATTAATACTAATAATAAATAAATTAATAAATAAATTAATAAATTAGTTAATAATTAATTAATTAATTAATTTACGTGCTGTTTCCACAAACGAAACTATTTTATGTTTTATCGCCATGCAAACATACAAAGAACTTAAATTTTCATTTTGTTTTAGTTTATTGAGTAGACGAAGTTCTTTCAGGATTTGGTCTTCATTTAGATCATTCGGATAGAATTTTGAAAGATTACGACAATAGTTTTTGCAAGTGTTTTTTGACGTCCTCTGATAGTGATTGGTCTGAGTTCTCTGTGTCCTCTTGCCCTATTATACTGGAAGGGCTCCAAAGGAAGAAAAACATGTTGTTCAATTGTTCACTTGTTTTAAATCTTCGCGTTACTTTACTAATTACTGTGTCTAAAGTCACATTAAAGACGTTTATTCTGAACAGCGCTTGGTTGTTTTGTACTTTTTATTCGTTATCCCGTTTTTCGTCATATAATGCCTTGCGAATTCGTCGTCGTTTTTCCTGAAACTGTTGAGTAAGGCCCAAAGCACCAACAACAAGCTTTGATTCCTCAAGGATAACATTCCAAGCTTCACGTATGCGCTTTAAATCATTTTGGAGAGATTTAATTAGATTTAATTGTTCGTCAATCGTATTCCAGAACCTTGAAGCAACAAACTAACATCATTAATGGATTGTAGCGCTTTAAACCAAAAACTGACCAGTAATGTATATTCAAACGAGCTTAACCATTTGCTGAGAGTATCCACATCATTACACAGATCAGGAGGCAAATCATGTTCCCTCAGGCTGTCTAAAGCATCTAAGATTTCTCTGCGCCTCTTCGCTAGCGGCTTTACAGCCTCAATTCTAGCACTGCAACGTGTAACTGGCAATTTATGCCGTGAAATATGAGCATGTGTCTTGCAAGATTTTCCAGCGAGATGGATTGGAACTAAATCAATTGTACAGTTTTTCAATATTCCCAAGAACATTTTCACAACATCATTAGACTCAGCTGCATGAACTCCGCAAAGATGAAGCGTGTGTGCACTGCAAGGAGAGAAAACAGCCTGAGGATTCTTTTCCCGGATTAATGCTTGAGCTCCCTTGAAACAACCTGACATATTAGATCCATTGTCATATCCTTGCCCTCTGCAATTTTTTAGCTGAATATCGAAGGATCGATCATTTACTGGTATAGTAGACGAGTCTGTTTGACTAAAGTGAGAGGTTTCGCCAATGTTATTATAAATACAATCCTCGTTCTCAGTTGCGGAAAGGTTTGTGACGATTTCAACGCTATTTTTTTTATTCTGTTCTTCAGATTGCTAACCTTTATTGTCATCGAGATTAGTTATTTGTTGGTCTGTTAATTGTTTCCTGATTTTCAGTTAAACTCTTACTTGTGGTTAGTGTAGTAGCCATGTCAGAATGGTCATATATACTAGTGGTTTCACTTTCTTGGTCCATGCTAATATTATGTAATTTAGAGTCAGTTTCGTTACTTGTAGTAGTTTTTATACACCAGTTAAGATCTTCGAGTGCTCACCGTGTTTTTGCATCATTCTCAAGTCGGGCTCTCTGGCTTCGCGTTGTTTACGCTTCAGTTCTCGTGACGAATATGATCGCTTGGACGCCATTTTTATATGTTAATTTTGTTTGCGCTAGAGCACACTAAATAAAAAGGCAGCTAACCTCTGCATGTAACTGGAGTATCCAACGTCCACACCCTGTATATGCGAAGGTAAGGTTCATGGTAAATACAGAACTTATTACTAAAATCACTATGGAGATTTATTATTTTTGTGGAAAGAGGAGTATATTATTTACAAATACTTAAATGTGCATACTTGCAAAAGTACTCACTTCCCTATCATTTGATTTACAAATCTTTCAAATTCTTTGCACAGCGATACTTTTCCGTATAGTATTTGCTGGGGCCCCCACAAGCCTGGGGCCCGGGGAAAATT